TAGGTATGAGAGACAAAGTTCAGTTAAATGCAATATTCTATTGCTAAATGGTATGTAAAATCAGTATTCCTGAAGGTACTCACATACTAATCAAATCCTGTAGTAATCTTCATCTTTGTAGACAGAAACGTTAAAATTATTTTAGTAATTTTTATTCTAAATTCTAAAATGAGACAAATGTCCCTCCTTGGGGGGGGGGTAGTTAAGTTTCCATAGTCTTAGGCTAACAATTTTAATTTTCATTAATTTTAGAGATAAGTCCTTATCTAGAAAATTTTCACTATAGTAGAAGTGACTAGAATGTTGGAACAAATGTGAACTAAATGATTAAACATAACTTTTTTTCTTTACAGATGAGGAAACCAAAGTTTAGTGTTGGAACAGACTTTTCTATGGTAAAAAAAAAAAGGCTAATCTGAGATCAAACAAAACAGTGCTCTTAAAATTGCAGGTCCATCCCTTAAAGGGATGGACACAAGCTTCAAATGCATGAGGCACGAGACAGCCCCCACCAGGACTAACCAAGCATCACAGGGAGAGCCACATAAGCACCACTGGGAGGCCCCTTTAAAAGATAAATTTAAAAAACTCCGCATTTTGGAATTAATCAATAAGGTGCACTGGTACCAATATAACATTTTTAAAAAGCAAGAGTCAGAACACCTGCGAGTCTGGGTTGATACCTGATGCCAGGTGGGGAGAGAGGTGGAAGCAAAAGCAGAAAATACCAGAGGCTAGAAAGAAAAATACAGAATCTTTATGATGTATCCAGGATAAGTACTGCTTCATAAAGCTTCACTTTAGTTATATGTATGTATTGTATTATAGCAAGCTGCATTTACATGGGGTAATTTTTTCTTAAGTCATTAAAATAAAATATTCGATTTACTGAATTTTATAATTATTTTAAAACTATGATTAAGATTATCATGATGTTATTTATTATGACTCACTCTGAGCTAATAAAAATCTAGTACTTGACTCACTGAATCAAGTACTAGAATCTACTTGTCATTTCCCCCTTTAAAAGAAAGGTTCTGAATGTTTAATTCCATTATATACGTGAAGACCTTTTTTTGTGGTTTCTTTTTTTTCTTTTGATAACTGTCTTTAAATTCTCACTTTCTTTAGTGTTTATGTGTGCAAAAGCTAGACAAGCATCTTAAAATACTAAATTCTAAAATCCTGATTATTAGCACATTTTAGAAATCTTTGTGAGAAAACAGTGACCTCTAGTGGATTCATTAAATGAACTTGGTTTGTGATCCTAAGAACCGAGACACTGAGATGTAAAAAATACTGATATGGCTACATACTAATAGCATTTTACAATAAATAAGAGCTACAGTGACACTACGTACAATGTGAGTGAAACGCATTTAAAATTAGTAACTGACTTTTAACCAAACAGAATTCTGGTCTTTTGCTCAGTATCATTGATTTTAGAAATACACTTAATTTTTTTGAGTTTGTTTTAAGGGGATATATACATATTCAATTATATGTATATATTGTATTATAGCAAGCTGCATTTACATAGGGGTAATTTTTTCTTAAGTGTGCTAATAATCAGGATTTTAGAATTTAGTATTATAAGATGCCTGTCTATCTTTTGCGCATATAAGCACTAAAGAAAGTGAGAATTTAAAGCTCCGGCAGCCAAAGACCTCCAGAACCAGCCACAACCATGCTGAGACCACTCTCCACACGCATGAAGGTGCTGGCAGATGAACAAAGGCATGCGGGTCCCAGGGCTGAGATCTCCAAGCCTGCTCGGATGGGGGCTGAATATCCTCCACCCAGATCCTCCATCTTCCAGTAGGCATGGGTCATACCCAAAAACTGCCACCCGGCGCCGTGTAATCCCATCAACAGCCAAGACCCAGAGATTATAAAACCAGCTCCCGGAAGACATAAGACATCTTATTATCTCTTCTTACTTTGGACAACGTGGCAGGCTACCGAATGTAACCTGCCCACACGGCAGTCTGGCAAACTCCCCGTGGCGTACCCAATATGCCAAATACCAGTAACAATGATGGGGCTCATTCTCCTAACCCTAAAAGAGCCTTAAATATGGCACTTTAGGGGCTGGAGTAATAGCACAGCGGGTAGGGCGTTTGCCTTGCACGCGGCCGACCCCGGTTCAATTCCCAGCATCCCATGTGGTCCCCTGAGCACTGCCAGGGGTAATTCCTGAGTGCAGAGCCAGAAGTAACCCCTGCGCATCACCGGGTGTGACCCAAAAAGCAAAAAAAAAAAAAAAAATGGCACTTTAAAATCTCAGGGCTAGGACGAATGAGACGTTACTGGGGCCTGCTCGAGGCAATCAACGAACAACAGGATCATCGTGATCGTGATCGTGATTTAAGGGGTTGCACTGAATTACCTAAAGGGTTTTTCATTAAATTACTTAAAGGTCATAATTCCTTTTTCTTTAATTCATTTTGTAAACTATATGCCAGATTAAATTATGTTCAAGACATTTGATGGATCTCTAGTCACTGATGTCCTTTTTTACATATAATTATCTTACTTACCCTCTATGTCCCCTAATCCGTACTGCTTAGTTCTGTTCTATTTAATTATTTTTTTAAGGGGGCAGAAGGTATTGTGGGTTGAACCCAAGGCCTTATACATATCCTCAGATGTATGTGCTCTTCATCTACCTGATTTCAAGTCAGTCAATATTTTACTTTTTTTTTTTCACTTATTTCTACATTAGATCTCACCATTCTACAAAGAAGTAATCATCCATATCAAGAGAGGGGTTCGGCAGGGTGATACCATTTCACCAAAACTCTTCAGTGCCACCCTCGAGAACATCATGCGACGACTGGAATGGGAAAACATGGGAGTGAAGATAGATGGTCGGCAACTACACCACCTCCGCTTTGCTGATGACATCGTTCTAATAACACCAAACATCAGCCAAGCGGCACAAATGCTGAACGACTTTAACCGTGAATGTGGAAAGGTCGGACTACAGCTGAATCTTACGAAGACAATGTTTATGAGAAACAGCCTTGTTCCTGACGCTCCATTCGCTCTCAATGGAACCACCATCTCCGAATGCAACAGTTATATATACCTAGGTCGAGAAATCAACATGATGAATGACCTGGCACCTGAGTTGCGCAGGAGGAAGAGAACGGGTTGGAATGCCTTCAAGAGCATTGAAGAAATAACTAAAAGGACAAAGAACCTCCAGCTACGAGCACATCTCTTTGATTCCACTATTCTTCCTGCATTAACATATGCCTCAGAGACCTGGATCCTACGAAAACAGGATGAGAACACTATTCGGGTCTCTCAAAGAGGAATCGAAAGAACTATGCTTGGAATATCACGATTCACTCAAATGAGAGATAGCATCCGGAGTTCTGATCTTCGTCAACGCTCAAGAATCAGGGACGCTGTCTCATTTGCCAAGACATCAAAAATCAGATGGGCTGGACACGTAATGAGGTTTACAGACAACCGCTGGACTAGAGCCATTACTGATTGGATTCCACGGGACATCAAAAGATCACGTGGACGCCCACCTATAAGATGGTCAGACTTCTTCGTCAAGACCCTAAATGATCGGTTTGAGGCTCTGCATGTTCCTAGAACGAACAGATACCATTGGGCTACGCTAGCACGCAACCGGGATGAATGGAGACGTTACTGGCACCCGCTCGAATAAATCGATGAATAACGGGGATTAAGTGATTAAGTGATAAGTGATTTCTAATACCCCATTATATTTAATTTTTTTTTTATTTTTGGGTTACACCCAGCGATACTCAGGGGTTATTCCTAGCTCTGCACTCCGGAATTACTCCTGGTGCTGCTTAGGGGACCATACGGGATGCCAAGAATTGAACCCAGGTCAGCCACTTACAAGGCAAACGCCCTACCCGCTGTACCCCCTTATGAGTTTATTGTCTCACTTTTGCTTAACTTTCTCATGAATTTCTTTTTTTTTGGGGGGGGGGGATACTCCCAAGCAGTGCTCAGGGATCCAGGGGCCACGCCAGAAATTCTCTGCCAACCAGATCTGATGAATCAATGCTGAAGCTTGAGTCTACAGTGGTACTCTGGCCCAACTGTACAAGAGATCACAAGGCCCACCATGGCTGTGCTCAGGAACCACCAAGGCCTCACATGGCAGTGCTCAGGGGCCTCCAGAGCTATGCCCTGTAAGGTCTGGGAGACCACGTGGTACTGTGGATGAAATCAGGGCTGGCTGTATGCAAGGTAAGTACCTTATCCTCCTTACTATCTCTCCAGCCCCTCATTATGCAATTATCACCACCTTCACTAACTTAGAAGTGCCTATTAGAGTAAGCTGAATTCCAAAATCCTGTGTCTTCTGAAAAAAATTCAACATTCTTATTCCACAATTATTATATAAATAGGATTAATAGTATCAAGAGGCATGCTAGGAAGTCAGAAATAGTTTAGGTTTTGTGGGGTAAGAGTGATAGCATAGCAGGTAAGGTGCTTGCTTCGAAAATGGCCAACCTAGGTTCGATTCCTGACATCCCATATGGTCCCCAGAGTAGAGCCTGAGTAAGCCCTGAGTATCACTGGGTGTGCCCCACCACCACCCCTGCCCCCCAAAACAGTTTAGGTTTTGAGTTTAAATTTTAAACAGAAAAAAACCATGTATTGTTTTATTTATTTCTGGGCCACACCCAGCAGTGCTTAGGCTTACTTCTGGCTCTACACTCAGGAGTTCTCCTGGCAGGGCTTGAGGCACCATCTAGGGTGCTGGGGATCAAACCAAATTTGACCACTGTACTATCTTTCTGGCCCTGCAAAAAATCACTTGTATTTACTAGATTTTTTAAGTGTTAATTTCTAAATAGCTATGCATAAAATATAGCATTTTCCCATATTAAAGTGTATGTAATAAAATTCTATCGAAAACCAGATCTATTCTCTGTATTTCTCAAAAAAATTAAAACTATTAGAATATATGAACAAATGTATAGATAATCATTTAAAATTACCTTTCTTCTTCTCGAACCCAAACTGGAGTTTTGGAAATTTGTGCTTCAAAATACTTTGATGCTTTATAACAAAAATTGCTGCAAAAACACTTCAAACAAATGTTTAATTTTAGTTTAAACAAATAAACATTTTAAAATTAGATTATTTTATAAGGAATCATAATATGTACAGAAGAAAGTACAAAACAAATATGCAGTTGAAAAGAGAAAAATGGAAATCAATGCTATCACTTTAGCTAAGAAATGAGTGCTTTAAAATAAATGTACCCCTCCATAAAGGCACTGCTTTTCCCCATTCCCCAGAAAAAAAAAATCATGAAACTTATGTAGCTCATTCCCTAGTTTTTCTGTGGTTATCCCATCTATAAATATCCTATGCAGTATTACCATTCAGTTTTGCCAAAAGTTTTGTCTAAAAGGAATTATATTATTATTGTATTCTTTTTCTTCTGTTCTGCATTATTTTTGAAATTCATTCCTTTATGGCTTACATTGCAAATTAACTGTCACTGCATAAATATTCTAGCCTTTATAGACAATTTTTTTGTTTTCACCGTAATGTTACTATCATTTTATTTTTAAGAATTATGGGCTGGAGCGATAGCACAGCCATAGGGCATTTGCCTTGCACGTGGTTGGCCCAGCCGAGCTGGGTTCGATTCCTCTGCCCCTCTCAGAGAGCCCGGCAAGCAACCGAGAGTATCTTGCCCGCACGGCAAAGCCTGGCAAGCTCCCTGTGACGTATTCGAATGCCAAACACAGTAACAAGAAGTCTCACAATGCAGACGTTACTGGGCCGGGTCGAGCAACTCGATGAACAAAGGGAGGACAGTGCAGAGAGTGCAGTAAAAGCATACAAAATTTTTAAATCTAAGCTCTGAGTGTAAAGTTTAGTGGCATTAAGCAACCCTCATTGTTATGCAACCACCATACATTTCCAGAACTATTCATTTCACAAAAAAGCTCTAAACTTATTAAAACAATGCCCTCCATTGACAAACCATCATTGTACTTCTGTCTCTGATAATTCGATGGCTGTAAGCACCTTACAAGTAGAGTTTCACAATATTTGTTATTTTGTTGTGGCTTATTTTCTTTAGGATAGTATCTTTAGAATTTAACCATGGTGTGGCATGTACTGAAATTTCCTTTCTTTAAAGACTGAATACCATTTAATTCTATCTATATATTTTACATAACAGGAAATTCAAATGGATATATACTTGTAGCCATGGACATAATTTCCTTAGAATGCATCACGTCACAGCATGCAAAGGACAGATCATTAGGTCTACATGTTTCTCATTAGAGTGCAGTGTCAGTTTGTCAAAAAGGCTATACCAATTTTGCACCATAAAACTGTCAGATTTTTATAACTGTTTATTCAGTGTGGGTTATTTTTTTTTTGTTTGTTTTTTGCTTATTTACTTTATTTTAAATTTGGCAATCTACTGTTATTCAGGGTTATTCCTGGGGCTCAAACCTGAGGGCTGAATCTGGGACTCATGCATGCATAGCATACAAGCCAGTCCTTTGACCCAACTCCCTCCCTTTCTTAATGTAGTTTTGTTTATTTCTAAGAGATCACACATTCTGGTTATGAATCTGTGATCCCTTATATGTGAGAAATATGACTCCTTTGATTTTTTTACCTAATCTTTTCATTCTCTGAGAATTCTAATGAGAAAGTGTTCTTAATTGTAATGTAAAAAACTGACCAGTCTTTTCTCTGGGTGCTATAATTTTTCAACTTTTTCTTTTTAAAAAATTGATTTGTCATGAGCTTACAGTATTATAGAATTTGAGCACAGCTTATTACCTCTATATGTGAAAATGGTTCATCACAACCACCAAAGTTCCAGTGTCATCCCACTACCAAAAAGAACCCCTACTCATTCCTACTACCTACCCCCTTTTTTCTCTGGGAACCACTATAAATCATGGCATCTAATAGTTAGTTTTATTGCTTTTTACCAGTTTATTTGGTTGTTTATAATTCACCTGAGTAAAACCATCTGGTAGTTATCTTTCACTCTTCCCCGATAAAATTTCCCATCTTATTTAATAAATTCTCTCTATCCGTATTTACCCAGACATTTTGCTATACTATCTACAAAAAATGTTTTTGTTTTTATGTTCAGATCTTTAACATACCTAAATTGATCTTTGAATATACACTGTGATGGGAATCAAATGTTTTTTTCTCCATATAAAACACTAATTTCGCCTATACTCTTTATTGAGAAGTTTAGTTTCTCCAATGATCTACAATACTCTTACTACCATGAAACAAATATCCACATGTGTATTAAGTCCATTTCTTACTCTTGTCTGTTCCACCATTTACCTGCCTGAATTTGTACCAATAAGCACATTCAATGCTTAAATATTCAAGTAACTAAATCATAAGCAAAGAGGTTTTATTTAACTTCTGGAATTAATTTCTTTATAATTTTATTAATTATAACATTAAAAACTAATTACATTTGAAACAGATATTCAGCTTACTTTTCTTTCAGTGATATCATAGACTTTATTTGTTTTGGTAGAAATCCTGTATTTCTGTCTTGGTACCTAAGGAAAAAGAAGTACAGCTTACAAAATAATTTAAGTAATAAACATGAACTTTATGTGATAAACTCATCTACATGTATATCTTTGCCTAAGTCATATCACTAGTTCATAACCTTAGTATCATTTATCCTATCATATTGTGAAATATAAAAAAATCCAGAGTATATTAGTAAATAAAAAAATAGAGGTCAATGTTCCAAAAAGTTACTTACGATTCCTAGTTTCTTCTGACATAAGGGATAACCGCAGAGTTTGATGATAGAACGCTCATCTACAACGTCACTGTAGTGAGCGGGTGTGATGAACTTCCCCTACAATGAAACGAAAACATTTCCCCCCACCGAGATTATTGGCAAAGTTCACGTATCATTTCTCAAGTTTTATTTATTTCATCTAAAAACACAAAGTAGGCACTTCTGTGGCCAAAGTGACAGTCTAGAACATAAGACTTGCATGCAGCTGTGGTGACTGTGACCTTGGTTCAAATCTGTGCACCACTCATGGTCCCCTAAGCATCACCAGGAGTTACTCCTGAGCACAGAGTCAGGCAGTCCCTGCACATGGCTGGGTGTGGTTCAAAAATCAATACCAAGACATAGGAAGCAATTTTGGGAGGTGGGCTGGTGCAGCGGTGGGCATCCTGGTGTCATTCTTTTACTATCTCCTGACCCTAAAGAAAGCATGGCTCTTTGTTTTTTGGGCCATATCTGCCAGTGCTGGGTGTGGCTGACTGGGCACTCCTGGCATTGCTTGGGGGCCATGTAGTGCCTAAGCCTGAACCTGGGGCTCCAGCATGCTAAGTATGTGCTCTAGCCCTCTGAGCCATATCCTAGCCCAAGGAAGCATTTCTTCGGCGCTAAATATCATGTATAGAGATTCTGCTCCCATTACCTCTACCACTTTAAATACTATTATATATGTACATATTCCTCTTGATAAAAAAATCTGAGTCCCACACACATCAATTGCATTCCAGTATATATTCTGATTTTTCCTTTTCTTTTTTCTCTGGAGGAATATAAGAGTAATAATAAAGTTTTTACTCAAGAGTAATGCAAAGAAATGTTCTAATTCATATTATAATTCTTTTGATGTTGTTTAAGCATATTTCAAGTTTTTAAACATCAAAACTAATGAGAATTACAACTAAAGTAGTATGTTTGTACGAAAATAAGACAACAGGGGCCGGAGAGATAGTACAGCAGATAGCGTGCTTGCCTTGCATGCAGCCAACCTGGGTTTGATCCCCAGCCTCCCACATAATCTCCTAAACCCGACAGGAGTGAATCCTGAGTGCAGGAGTTACATCTGAGCATTGCCAGGTGTGGCCCACAAACCAAAAAATAAGCAAATAAACAAAATAAGACAACACAAAGATATGGAAAATGACAATGTGATATTAGTATAAACTGGTAAAAATCAAGTGTGATTAACAGGCTGGTTATAAGAACTACCACTAGAGAGTAAAATGAGCATATTGTGTTTTAATTGAGTGCATTTTAATGTATTTATACAAGAAGAACATCTTATTATCTCATTCCTACTTTGGACAAACTTGCAGGCTATCGAATGTAGCCTGCCCACAGGGCAGAGTCTGGCAAACTCCCCGTGGCGTACCAAATATGCCAAATACCAGTAACAATGATGGGTCTCTTTCTCCTAAAGAGCCTTGAATATAATCTCAGGGCTAGGATGAAAGAGACGTTACTGGTGCCTGCTCGAGGCAATCGACGAATAACAGGATGATGAAATGAATAAAATGAAATACAAGAAGAAACACATAGTAGTTAAGTTTGAGGGTAGAGGCTCCTAAGCAGTGAGAGAGACTAGAACTCTCAGCAATGCTCAGCCAACAGGGGTGGACAATCCAATTTGAAGCCCTGAGGACTAAAGCCTTCAGGGTACCACCAGAGACAGGTCCAGTAGTACTGGGGAGCCATGCAGCTGCAGAGATTAAATTAGGGTCCTAAACAGGCTCACTTAACCCCAGAGTAATATAGATGGTTTTTATAGTGGATTATTTTCAAATGCATAAAATGTATAGCATGTTACCTGCATCTAGTGAGAACAGATACAAAGGCTTCGATTAAGCAGAGTATCAAGCTATGTAGATTTAAAGATCTTATGCTATAACAATTTTAACTGTTGATCCATACACCCTAGAACAAACAGACACCACTGGGCTACACTAGCACACCACAGGGACGAATGGAGATTTTACTGGTGCCTGCTCGAGCAAATCGATGATTAACAGGAAGTCAAGTGACCAACTGATCAAGTGATACATACACACTCCTTTAGGAATTCTTCAGTAATATTCTCTTCCAACAGCTGTTCAACGATATGCAAAGCTTTTCTCTCAAACTCTATCTTCTTTCTCACAGCTGCTTCTAGTTCGGCTTTCCTGAATAAAAAATTATTCTATATATAACTCTATTTATCATGGTCAATTTTCCATGTTTTTGATCTGGGGCTACATTCTGCAGTGCTCAGGGCTTACTCCTGGCTCTGTGCTCAGGGATTGCTCCTTCTGGGGCTCAAGGGACCATATGCACTTATAAATCTAAATTTCCCATGGTGGCTTGTAAGAACTGAATCCTGCCACTTTCTCTGACCTTTCCCATGTTTCTTTCTCTGTCCCTGAGAAACATCACACTCCCCCATGGACAGCTCCTCTCTTTGAACTGATGAAGCTTTTTCTGGCCTTAGGGTCCTCATATACACTGCCAGAACTAGCTTCCTTCACTACTCTTTGGTTAAAGCCAACTTCGCTTGCAAGTATCAGCTAAATGATTAATTTCTCAGAGAAGACTTTCCCTGAAAACCCAGACTTGGCAAATCCCTGACTAGAATGAACACTAAATGGAGTCTTGTCATTAGTCCTGCCTCCTGGTAGGCTTTTCCTTTAGGGCTCATACTGCAATCTGTAGTTATGGAGTTGTTTGTGACCAATGTAACAGCCCTTCTCTTATCTACTAGATGGGAACTCTGTCCTGTTCAAGACCACATCCAAGTGTATATTCAAAGATCAATTTAGGTATGTTAAAGATCTGAACATAAAAACAAAAACATTTTTTGTAGATAGTATAGCAAAATGTCTTGGTAAATACGGATAGAGAGAATTTATTAAATAAGATGGGAAATTTTATCGGGGAAGAGTGAAAGATAACTACCAGATGGTTTTACTCAGGTGGATTATAAACAACCAAATAAACTGGTAAAAAGCAATAAAACTAACTATTAGATGCCATGATTTATAGTGGTTCCCAGAGAAAAAAGGGGGTAGGTAGTAGGAATGAGTAGGGGTTCTTTTTGGTAGTGGGATGACACTGGAACTTTGGTGGTTGTGATGAACCATTTTCACATACAGAGGTAATAAGCTGTGCTCAAATTCTATAATACTGTAAGCTCATGACAAATCAATTTTTTAAAAAGAAAAAGCTGAAAAATTATAGCACCCAGAGAAAAGACTGGTCAGTTTTTTACATTACAATTAAGAACACTTTCTCATTAGAATTCTCAGAGAATGAAAAGATTAGGTAAAAAAATCAAAGGAGTCATATTTCTCACATATAAGGGATCACAGATTCATAACCAGAATGTGTGATCTGTTAGAAATAAACGATTTTAAAAATATGAGTAAATTAAATGTCAAAACCAATGCTTCATAAAATGTTAAGTCATAGATGTTGTATAGTCTTGATGTTATCTTCACAGGCTACCATTTTTGAAACCTTTTGTGACAGGAGATAAGTTCTGCCTTTTTTAGGAGAATTGAGAAAGCCGTAGAACTGAAAATAGGTGCAAAATATAAAGAACTAAATGATTTTGTGAAGTTTCTGGCATACAAAGAGGGAGAGGTACAAGCTAAAGAGATGGTACAGGGGTTAAGGCATTTGCTTTGCACGTGGCTGACCCTGTTTCAGTCCGAGGCACCCCAGATGTTCGCAAAGCCCTACCAGGAGTGATCTCTGAGGGCAGAGCACAACTGGGAGTCTCCCTCCTCCCCTAACCCACTACCTCAAAAATCAGGAAGGAAAACTGTCTGTGGACATATGGAAAAAGAGCACCTGGTTTTCAAGAACATTTTTATCCACCAGTGTATTTCTTAGTTTTGTTTTGTTTTTTTGAGGCCACACCCTCCCATGCTCAGGGGTTATTTCTGGCTCTGCACTGGGACATTATGCTGGGCAGAGCTTGACAGAGTACATGGGATGCTGGGGAAACAAACTAGGCTGGACACATGAAGGCAAACGCCCTGCCCTTTGGACTATCCATTTGATCCAGAATCTGATTTGGTTTTCTTCAAGTGAGGAGTAGAAGGATCTAACAGTCTAGGTGAGACTGAGTGCTCAGATCTTCCAAGCTCGTGCATTTCCCTAAGGTAGCTCAGTCATGGTTTTGAGAAACAGTTCAGGGACTGGGGAGAGCTTAAAGAACTGGAGAGCCCTGCTCTGCATGTAGGAGGTCTCTGCTCTTGGTCCCCAGAGTACTGTGGCAGTGCTCCCCGATAGCAAACGCAAATAAAAACGCTCCAATTAATGTCAGAGAGAGCAAATGCTGTTGTCCAAGCAGTATGCTTACCTCTTAGAGGCATCTTCTTGTTTTAAGGCATTTGTTTGTGAAGTACCTACAATAACAAACAAACAAACAAACAAAAAAACCAAACACAGCAGGCCCAGATTAGAGAAACACTCAAGGTGAGGGGCAGATTCCTGTACCCCATCGACGGAACAGAACATCTTTTCCGTGCTATTCATTTACACGCCTGTCACTCAACAGAAATGGGAAGGGGCTCCAATTTCCCTTCTTCTTTCAGTTAAAAGGCTTCTCTCTCAGAACTGCCTTGTATTAAGAACTCCTTGGATGCTTTCAGCGGCAACCTCCCCCTCCCCCAAGTGCCTGGCACTCTGGGAACGTGGACAGGTCAGGGTCCCGGGTGCCGAGGCAATGGTGCCCCGAGCGAGCAGGGCGAGCGCCAAGTTCCAGGGCAGCCGCGCACACACAGCCCGAGGACGCACCCCTGGCTCATCCCCAACGCTGGCCACCCCATGCTCCTCTTCCAGCACCGCAAAAGAGGGCTCTAACCACTCTGGGCAAACCTTGGGCCACTCGCGAAAGGAGGTGGAGCCCAGCAGGCTCCGGACCGCGGTGGGAACCTCTCGGCTTCGCTCGCTTCGGAAGACCGCCCGCCCCGCCGCGCCGCCTCTCGGGAGGGTCCCGCGCGCCCCCGACTGGAATTCTGGAGGCGTGGGGTAGGGTGGGGTGGGGTGGGGTGAGTTGTCAGGTCCTAGGAGATGAAGCCCTTTCTCCTACCCGCGTTCCGGGAGCCGCGGGGAAGCCGACCCCGGCGCATTGACGCCCGGGGCCGGACGGCGTCAGCCATGCTCGTGTCGTCAGGACGCCGCAGGTCCCGGGCGTCTCTCGCGGAGGCTCCGCCCCCGTCGGCGTGCGCGGGGCGGGGCCTGCGCGCTGGGGGCGGGGCCTGCGCGCTGGGGGCGGGGCCAGGGGTTGAGCCTGCGCGGCTCGTGGAGGTGGAGATCGCCGAGAGGGGCGAGCGGCCCGGCGGGTGAGTGGACGCGCCTACCGGGAGGTCGGGGGCGATGGGGAACTGGTGGGGGGCGATGAGCCACACGGCGGGCTGCAGCCCCTAAGCACGGTGGTGGTCCCCTTCCCCCCGAACGCCGAGGCCGTGCAGCGCTCGGGAGAAATGGCTTCCTGGGGATGCCGCCCGCACGCGCGCCGCTGTTTGATCCGCCCCGGAGCGCGGCTCGGTGAAGACCCGGCCGACCCGTGCCCCTGGGGCGGGGCTGGCGCTGCGGGAAACGCCGCCCCCCAACCCCTCTCCCCGCACTCACCAACGCGTCCCTTCGCCCCTCGCCACCGTTTGCGGACCTGCTTTCCTTGCCACGGCAGTGACGCCCACCTCCCCCAATACCCACCCTCGCCGTGGGGGTGGGGGCGCTCGAGCCAACGCGCCACGCCCCGGCGGGGGTTGGGGGTGGGGGAAAGCTGTGCTGCACCCCAGTTTTTGTTCAGTGGGACGTGAGAGCTATTTTTAAAGTCTAATGATTAGAACTGATTTCCGGGCCTCTGGATATATTCAGCGTATGAAAAACTCATCACAGGCCATGGTTTGTGCTGTCAAGTAGCTTCAGAAACTATCAAAACTATCGGCCCCTAGAAAACTTAAGACATGCAACCTGAGGTCCCCCCATGGATGCTTATTTTTGTAGGCTAACATACTAACCCATAGCACTGTAGCACTGTCCTCCCGTTGTTCATCAATTTGCTCAAGCGGGTACCAGTAACGTCTCCATTGCCAGCCTTGTTACTGTTTTTGGCATATCGAGTACGTGGAGATTGCCAGGCTCTGCCATGTGCGTGGAATACTCTGGTAGCTTGCCGGGCTCTCCGAGAGGGATAGGGACGGAGGAATAGAACCCTGGTCGGCCGCGTGCAAGGCAGACGCCCTACCTGTTGTTGCTATCGCTCCAGCCTGACAATTCTGCTTGAAAATGTCTCATGTTTATTCTTTGTTAAGAAGAATGAAAGATAACTGCACTTGACTATCAGTTAAGAATTAGAATGAAATACAACCATACTTTACTGACAGTTATTAACAAGTGTGTGTTATATTAGTTAATTCCAGCTCCAGCATCAAATCTAGTACCAAGGAATGGCCGTGGAAGAGCTTCAATCCATAATAAAGAGATGTGTGAGTGAGGTTTTCTTTTCCTACAGTTAATATCTTTGAAAATATGGGAAGGGCACAGATTGTTTTTAATCATATTTGCTGTCACTCAAACAGTTTAGCTGCTTTAATCCTTTTCTGGACTGTAAGTAAATAGCATATTGGCAGATTGGATTATTCACGTGACATACTTTTTGTAAATAAACTTACACGTTACTGATGCTTATCATAGAATTTTTTTCTCACAGTGGATTTCAGTATCTTTTATTAAAGTATTTATTAGGCTATCCTAATTGTCACCCATATAATGATACAGACTTTATCTAGAATTTAAACAGATAACCCCTCTATGAAGTAGCTATTGGATTTTATTTGCCTAAATATGTTTTTTTTTTTTTTTACCAGCAAATCCTAGAAGAGCAAGACTTCAAAGAAGAAGATTTTGGCCTGTTTCAGTTAGCAGGCCAAAAATGCATAGATGAAGGGCATATAGACCAGCTATTAGAAATTATTCAAAATGAAAAAAATAAGGTAAGTACAGTCTTCACATATACTCTTCAGTATTTAGTAGAGAAGAGCCACCTGATGCTGTTACTCATATGGTTTTTTATTAACCACACATTTAAGAACTGATCTAAATTTTCATAGTGGAAAACTAGAAAACAAGAAAGACAGTAGGAACAATTATATACTTTTAATTGTTTGCAGTTTGGTAGGAGAAATAAGCATGTTAATAACTATCAATACTGATGCAGAACAAATGAGGTAAGTGTTAAATTATTAGGAAACACTTTGGAGGAGCAGGTGTTTCAGGTTTAGGGATCAAAAGTTTTGTTTGAGTCATTAATTTATATTGATAAATATCAGCATCAAGTGGACTAGGTATTAAGTTTTGGTGTGCAACAAATTGTCTTCAGCCAGAAGTATATAGAAACCTAAATATAAGGTAAAATATTTTGTGTGCAGAGAATCAGAGCAAGGATAGATAGTCTGAGAAATGCTACACAATGGGAATGTTTATGGAATCAGGAACAACTATTTCCTGGGACATAGTAACACTCTCAAATTTTGTGCCTTTGTTCTCTCCTCATACAAGGGAAAATGAGGTGCAAAACCTCCTTTCATTAATAATACTATTTATATAGTAATCTGTGGATATTATAGTATGCTTGTGCTGGCCTAGGCTATAGTCAGTGCATCTTGATAATACTTAGAAGAGGTTTAAAACTTCTAGATCACACGTTATTATAGAATTTCTAGTCAGTAATTCATAGGTTTTATCTCTTTTTAATTTGAAAAACATGTTTTTTAGTATTATGAACATAGTTAAAGTGGTAGAGCATATGCCTAACTTGTGCTTGACCATGAGTTTGATCCCTGGCACCACATGGCCCTCCAAGCAATACTGGGTGGGTCTAAGCTTTATTTTTTTAAAAAATTGTTTTTTAGAACAAGTTTTAAAATACATTTCCTTTTGATTTGCAATAATGGTACCTATGTATCTTAAATACAATTGTTTTCAACTCCTTGATTCTTCTAAGTTGCATTCTCAGAGGATAACATTATTTTTATAATAAGAAAATAGACACTGAAAAAAGAGTTGACGTGCCCAAAAGCAACTCAGCTTTTATGTGACATCCAGAATTCAGACCTATACAATCTGGTTTCAAAACTCTCTACTGTGCTTCTTGTTGGCATTTGCATTTTACTGTGGAAGAGTAGAATAGGAATGAAAATAAGACACAAGAGTGACTGGATTTTAAGCCTTTGAGAGTATAATATATCCTAAAAGAAAAAGCAGTTTGAAGAGAACATTTAAGGAAGATAAGAAAATTTATTTGGGGAAATATTAAGTTTAAGATGAAGCAAGCAATTGGAAAGAAATGTGTTCTCAGTAGAGAAATAGATTAAGTTGTAGATTTGTGCAAGTCTTTTAAAGATTAGGTGATTAAGCATAGTGAGGTTTAGACTTAATACTCAGGGAATCGCCTTTGTGATATGCCATGTGCTACATTCTGTTATAGATAAGAGTGTTTAAAATGGAAAACAACTTAATTTTCTGGCCAGATAATACTATCAAGATTGATCGAGATGGGGGTGGTTTAATAGTACCCGTGGATAGGGTGCTTGCCTTGCACACAACATGGCTTACCCAGGTTTGATCTTGGGGACCACATATGTCCCCAGAGTTCTGCCAGGAATAATCCCTAAGTGCAGCTGGGTGTGGTCCCACACACCCCCACTATTGTGTTTTGGTAATTTTCTTTTCTTTTTCTGGGGAGTAGAGGGACCTCCCTAGCTGTGTTCAGGGGGCCTGCGGTCTGCTCCTGATGATAATTTGGCCAGCCAGCCTGGGTAGTTCTGTTCAAGGCCCCAAGAATGTGAAATTGCTTGGACCTTACATGGTCAGGGGTCAGGCTTCTCCAGGGCCATACCTGACAGTAGGTAGGTGACAGTGTGGTACTGGGAATCAAATTTGGGTCTCAGCACATACAATGCATATGCCCCTGGCCCCTGGACTCTCTACTCAGCTCCTCAACAACAGTTTTGTCAGTTATTTATGGTGTTGTAGATTTTATTTATGGCCTTTCTTGCCTTTCCTTTCAGCATTATCTTCTAGATGCTTTCTTTCTTCTTTACCTCCCCCTTTTATTGAGATATTGTGATGTAAAATACTATTCATTACTGTCATGCATTTATCTCCCCAACATCATACCCACCACCAGAGTGCGCTCTGCCTTCTACCAATATCCTAAGGGCCTCTTGCATATCCTCATCCCCTACCTCAGGTAAGCTCAGTCTTGTTGACCAATTCTCCAATTCTCTTTCCTTAGGTTATGTGTTGCTCCCTTACTGTAGTTCTTCTTTTTGTCAATGGTTATATCACCATAACATTGATTTTTTTAACTTAGAAAATTCTCTTTTATTTAAGAAGTGTTTTTAAGAAAGCACTTAATTTGAAGTGTTTGAGTTGTTTTTTTTCCTTTTCTGATTGTGACTAAGCGATAGCACAGCAGTAGGGCGTTTGCCTTGCACGCAGCCAACATGGTCGAACCGAGTTCGATTCCTCCACCTCTCTCGGAGAGCCCAACAAGCTACCGAGACTATCTCTCTCGCACGGCAGCTCCTTGTGACGTATTCAATATGCCAAACACAGTAACAACAAAGTCTCCAATGGAGACGTTACTGGGCCCGCTCGAGCAAATCAATGATCAACGGGAGAGCCTTTACTTTACTTTTAAATTTATTTATTGAATCACCATGAGAACAGTCACAAAGCCTTTCAGTTCAAGTCTCGGTCGGTCATACAATGATCAAACACCCATCCCTTTACCAGTGCACATTTTCCACCACCAAGAACCCCAGTATACCCCCCTCCCACCCACTCCCCGCCTATGTGATAGATTTCCACTTTACTCTCTCTCTCTCTCTACATTGATCACATTCAGTATTACGACAAAAGACCCAACATTGTTATTTGGAATTTTCCCCAACATTCGGACCTGCCACAAAGACATCATTAGAAAATTTGTTTTCTATTGCTGATTATGAAGAGCATATGATGTTTTGTGGCCACAATAGCGGCCATGCAAATTTGGATTTCTGATATTTTAGTAATAAACCTTGAGGGATTACTGCCAGAAGCCCCTGGGTTCCGAGATTGGTATGTGTGCCTCTGGGTTCATGGTCCGTCAAAAGCCAGAGGAGGCATTTGAGAGTGGCAACTCAGAGCATTG